AAATAGACCATTCAAACCATTAGGAACACATAAATACATATAAATCGAGGAATCCCATAATCTACAAGCTTCCTAGTATCATCGCGACTTTCCTTGACTCAAGTACGGATCATCTTCTTCCAGTGGTACATGTCAATACTACCTTCCGCATCTATCCGTACTTTCCTCAAGGGTCGCCCCGAGTCCTCCTAGTCACTTCCTTATCCACCCAACAATTCTCAATATTACAAGGCTCTCAATAGTGAATCACCTCCTAGGTCATCCTAGGACAACCACCACACTACTCCCTACCATCAACTGCAAAAGGAACTCCCCCTAACACCCTCTAACTAGCTTACAAATACAATTACATATTACCGACACCATATAATTCTTCGAATGAAATGTCTCACACTACAACGGTTGGACTCAAACAAGAGCTGCACAATAGAGTTAAAACATAACCTTCTAAAAATATCTAGTCTCAATAATATGTAACTTAGCATGTTCGTTTACTAGTTAGATGAAGTTAATGGGAACCCCTAAAATCACAAAGCAAGCAACATTCGATCATCGAGTAATTAGAAACAATGATAACATAAACAGGCCATCCTATCACTGACTGATCAGTACTAGCATGCAAGTCTACAAGCTCATACAACATGCATGCAAATGCATCTCTCCTAGCATTCTATCATGCAATCCTGAGCAGATCCTGAGCCCTAATCTATCATGCAATTCATAGATCCACAAATCAAGGCATATCATAAAACATGTATGGGTATTTTAGGAAACTTTACTTGAGATCGGTTGATTGCATGCACGACACCCCTTTCTTTTATTAGAAAACTCTTTTTATAAAACATTTCCTTTTTGAAAAAATCTACCAAATCCTCATTTTGAGTTCAGACACCCCGAGAGTATGCCTGAATCCCTCAAACCAAGGCTCTGATACCAACTTGTAACGTCCCAAAATTTAAGACTAAAAATTTCAATTTTTATAATAATAAAACTATCATCCAAAACGTTTTCATAAAATGATAGTGAAATCAGAGTATGTCAAAATCATCCAAATAAATCAGAGCCAAATAAAAAGCAGAACAATATGGTGCGTGCAATGCGATCATCCTGAGCTCTTCCCTTTCGATCCGAAAGTACCTGAAACATAAACTGAAAACCGTAAGCATGAAGCTTAGTGAGTTCCCCAAAATACCACATACCATACATATATACCAGCTCAAGGTTGTGCTTTTGCTTGCGTTTAGTTGCTTTGGGATGCTTGGACAAAATGGACTAGAACCATAACCACCACCGTAAGGTGGTAGCCGTCGCCGTGAGCCGCCGTTGACCACCACTACCCGAGGTGGTAATGGGTGGTGCCCGACTTATGAAATCCTAGTGGGCCCAATGAAACCCTAATTGGTCTAAGACTTAGCTTTTGGGCCTAATTGGGCTGTGATTGGGTTGGAAACCCTAATTAGGGTTTAGAAAACCCTAAATTTGGAATTATTGACTTGGACTTATCGGGGCCCACATTTTGAGCCATTGGAATTGGATTATGTATTCAGCCCGACCACACCATGTGATTTACCTAGTAGATTGATGGACTTAATGGATTAAGTCCTTAAAGGGTTAAGTAAGAAACACTTAACCCTAATCGTTATTTTATGTGAAAACTCTAATTTCACTTGGGCCTTGAGTTGGGCCTTTTTATTGGGCTTTGGTGATTGGGCTATTGATGGGCCATCCAAGAACAAGCATATGGACTAGAATATTGGATTGGGCTTTATGATAAGGCACATTGGACAGGCTTGGTCCCAATTGGGAAAATTAGGCCATAGGTGGGCCATAATTGAGCCTTCATGATTATGAGATATTGGGCCATTAGAAATGCCAAATGTTGGACTGGACTAAATGGTTGGGCCTTAGAATAAGACCATGTAAAGGTTTGGGCCCAATTTGGAAAATTGGGCCACAGTTGAATCTTGGTTCATTATTAGACTTTTGGGCCTTTGGATTGGGCCTTGGGCTTGAATCAAGCTAAGTTAGGGGTAAAATAGTCTTTTACCCCAAGCATGGACTTATGGTTATATGTTGGAACCCAATTATTAATTGGGTGTTATTTTGATGTTGACATACTTGGGAATCTGTCATCCAGTAGCTAGGGTTTTGTCCGCGGGACTTCATCAGTGTGAGGTGAGTTTTCCTCCAGTAGGAACGGGTCGAAGGCACCAATGCTGGCCCATTTATGTAAGTTAGTATATGCCGGGCTTAGGCCCGATGCCGGGGTTAGCCCGATGTAGCTTATATGTTCCGGACTTCGGTTCGATGTCGGGACAAGCCCGAGGAATGTTTGTATGCTTGATGTCTTCGTGATTCTTGCATGTACTTGTTTATGTGTTCCGGATTTTGGTTCGATGTCGGGGCAAGCCCGAGGAAGGTTTAGCTTATATGTTATGTGTTATGTGTTCCGGACTTCGGTCCGATGTCGGGGCAAGCCCGATGACGGTTTAGCTTATATGTCATGTGTTATGTGTTTCGGACTTCGGTCCGATGCCGGGGCAAGCCCGATGAAGCTTTATATGTTTATGTTTATGTTTATGTGTTATATGCTTGTTGCTATGTTATATGTATACCAGATGCCGGGCGGGGCCTGATGCCAGATTCGTCTGATGCCGAGCAGGGCCCGATGCAGTGGGCAAGGCCCAATATATGATCTTATGTGTTATTTGCATGGTATGTGGTAATTTGGGGAGACTCACTAAGCTTCGTGCTTACAGTTTTCATTTTTGGTTTCAGGTACTTTCGGTAGCAAAGGGAAGAGCTCGGGATGATTGCAGTGCACACACCATTTGTTTAGCCTGGGATGTTTTCACTCTGATATTTTGACACATGATTCTGATACAGTATTTTGTTATGATGATTTGAGATACACGACATGTGATTTTATTAGGTTGTTTTTATGAGTTATGGGTTTTTCTTTAATGATTTAAAACTAAATTTTTGGACTGTATTTTTGGGATGTTTCATTTACAGTGTTCTTCTTCAGCGGTCTTCTTCTCCAATTCTTTTTTCCAGGTTCTTTCTTTACTTTTTTCTTCTTCTTATTCTCCAATTTCTTGCATCTATTCTGTTCTTATTACCTGTTATTATTATATTCCCGTTGAGAGGTCATAAAAAAGTAATCAATCTACTAGAGGAAATATATGTGCTAAGGATTTTTAATTTGTATTGCCCTCCAAAAACCAATCGTAGCCTCACAGACCGTTCCCTTATATCTCCGTATGTCTTAGCATTTTCCCAAATGCAGCTATAAGAAGTCATGAATGCACTTCTTGAATCAATCCTTTAAACTAAATTTCATTTGTTAGCTATATGTAGTGACCAAAATGCAAGATTTGTGAAAGTTCATTATTATTTGTTAGTGTTAACCTTTTGGCAAATTATGAAACTGATATTATATTTTTGTTCATAACATGTTTTTTTTTTTTTTTTTTTTTTTTTTTTTTTTTTTTAATAAATCTTTGATTGGAAGATATGTATAAGTGATTAGGTATAGTCTGAAAAATCATATTTTAATTTTAATTTTTATAAGGAAAAAATACTTTAGAAATCGACCAAATTTCAATGTCTGAATTTGATGTTTATGGTTATGGCAATACATTTTAATTGAAATGTTTATCGAATTTTTTTGCAAAATTTAACGTTTTTGATACATATAATAACTTATTGTTGCTTTTGGTTTTACACTACCAATATGAAAATTGCCATATGAGCCTCCATGAGGGTTGGTACACCGAACAAAGTCAGTTCATAAAGTTACTACACAACATGTATTAATCAAGAAGTCGTATCATATTATGATAAAACAAAGATCACATGTATCATTTATGTTAAAAATTACTGTATTAAAAAACCAAATTACTCTAATATAAATATTAAATATTTTTATTTAATAAGTTTGGTTCAAAAGCTCTAAAATTAAATCTAACTAACATTTTTTATTAAAATTCCACCTAAAACAATGACACCTATTAATTTATATGTATTTAATTTATATTTTCCACGTTTAACTTAGTTTTTAGAATAAGTACAGTGACGCGTCCAGAAACCAAAACGGATATGGGTTTATGACCCCGTTCACAATTTCATATGGGCTGCCAATAGATGGATGGAAGTAGGCCTAGCCCACTACTGAAGCAGCTTTGCGTGCGCCCTCTTGGGCAGTGCGGCACTGCTGCAGGTACCCAAACCAGAGAGGGACTTCGGATCGTCTAATTTACTTTAATGACTTTCATTAGTTTGCGTAACCACCTCTGTCGATTTTCAATTGTTAGGGTGTTGTTTGGTACACTGGAAGGAACAAAAACTCAAAAAGCATTTAGACACTTCGATGAGAAAATGTTAGTCTGTTTTTGTTTTATTAACTCAGATTATTTGAAAACGTGTGTTTTTTTTATTGCTCACAATATCGTCGTTCTTTTTTTCATTCCTTTTCCCCTAAAGAATCAAGACTACCCATTGTATCCTTTATCGATTACACAAACTTGTTTTAAAAACCATCCAAATTGCAACCAAGTGATCAATCTAAAACAGATTGATAATCATATTCAATAGTATATGTTGACAGATAACAGTAGAAGCAGAGTCGCTAAGATGTCCATAAAATCTGAACAGGATACCAGCAGAAAGGTATGTATTGCTTTCTTTCCACACATTCATTGTCTATAGGTTTCCGACGCTCCATTTAAGTTAATTTCTTAATTTACTTGAACAAAGCTGTAACTTTACATGCATATTAAGTGTTTGATAAAATGCCCGAATAAAATATCTTTTTAAATGTAACGTCACATTCGTTGTTTTTTTTGTGTACTTTGATTCTATTGTTATTTGTTGCTATTGTAATGGAGTAATTGCCTAAAGTATCCTCTACTTTACTTTGACCCTGCTGTTATAGTGTTATTAGGTGTATATAGCGTATATAATATACAAATTATAAAAGAACACATTATACTCAACTAGGGCCATTTAGTGCATACAATGTAATTGAGCTTGTCTGTAACAACGATGAACAATTGTTTGGTGGAAAATGTACAAGTAGACTTGTAGCACTTGAAACAGTAAAAATGACATCATTATCTCATATATCAGCTTAAATAGACCGAAACTCGAGGCTGCTTACAATAAGGCCAGACATAGTTCCTTCATAACTTATCAGTTTCAAATTTATAGAAACACAATCATCTCGAAGCTGATTACTTGAGTTAAATTGCCACACATTGACCTCCATCCATATATCTTCCCTCTCTTTTGGAACCCGATTAGTGTCATTGACATTACATGGGGTTGGGGATCTAAAATAAAGAATTCCTTTCTCTTTGTTTTTGCGTTGGAGTACATCTCGTACTATTACAGGACAATGCAACCCGTGACAGTTTTCTGAAAGCTTGAACACAAGGTAACATGCGTATTCTGTATCTGGTGACAACCTTTGACTTTCAATCTTGCACTTGATATGGAATACTTGTTGTCGTGCAAGCTCAATCACCTCTTGGAATCTGGATATTTGATATGTGTAGGATTAGGTACTTCTTGGAGACAAAAATAATATTTTTAGGAGTTAAAAAAGTACATCGATATAAGGACTTGGTAGTTTATCAAGCAATATACAAGAATATGATTTCAGGTTATGGAAATCTAGTTCAAAAATGAACAATTTCCAACTATTTGTTTAAGTAAGAAAAAAATGAGGTTAAAAGATTTACAGTAAAGCTCATTCATGGCTGTGATGGCTAGAATATACACAAATCAATATTTAATGTCTAAAACAGGAAGACATAATGCAAATTACATTAAAAAGAAAAAGCAAACCTTGACTGGGTTGAGGGTATTGAATCAAAAAGCTTCACATTAGAAGATTCATAAAGAGCCTCCTTTGCTGAAAGCATATAATGCTTCTTTTTGCTCACTTCATTTTCGCTAAATGACTATCATATAGAGAAGTCAATATAATTTATTAGCAAAATCTCAGGAATTTTTTTTTTTTAATTCTACTACACATAGAAGACAATAGAACTGCAAATGACCTTTTCACCCTCGTCATAATTTTCAACTTTGATTTCTTCATGTTTCACCTGTATAAAAATTCTAAGACATAGTGTTAGAAAGTGTAACCTAGAACACGAAATGTGGTCAATACATCCTTCTCTGTTTCAATGTATAAATAAAAAAAGTATAGAATGGGAACTAAAGAGTATCTTCAAACTTGCATAATCAATGGCTCTAAACTCAATGCCTTCAATATAGATGACACCACTTTCACAGTAGCATTTTGAAAAGCTCTCTAGTAGAAACTCAAAATCAATATCTTCCTTGTCATTTAAGAATCGACACAATTCAATCATCATCCAATCATCTTCTCTCCATGTTGCGAAATATGCATGTAAGGTTTGGCCCCTGTTTTTGTACTTGAGGTTCACATACACCCGTTTAGCTTTTGATTTTATTGGACCACAAAATCTAAAGATGAGATTAACACCATAATTGACATCTTTAGACAAAAAAAAGAGGCTTTATCTTTATTTGGATCTTTAGATTGGAGATATCTAACATCTCTGCCACTTTATGAAACCTACATATGTTTAAAGATATTAGAGTACTCCAATTTAGTATAGCTTCTATTGTTCTATGCCCTGACATACTAAGTGATTGAAGTGCCCTCTCCAATGATAAACACTATTTAAAAGCTTTTTCTCAAATAATAAAAGATTTTGAAAAGAGTGTCCTCTTGATTCTACATCTATGCGTCTAAAGAAATTTAAAATAAAAACCTAAATGTGAGGAAATCTTTTGATTGGTAACATTGTGTCAAAAGCATCTTGGTACTATACGTAGCGATTTGTATATGATGATTTGTAAAAGTTGTACATATGCATTGCAGAAATATATTGACATACTCAGTTCTTATACTTTACCGAAAACTTCAGTTTGTCTTTCATAATTTTAGAGTGTAAATATTGTAGTATGTTCTGTTTTTGTAGCTTATAATATTGTGAATATCGAGCAACATCAAACTAAAAATGTAAACTATCATGCATTATGCGAGTTCAAAATTTAGCTTCACAATAGGTTATGAACCGATATTATTAGTTTATTTTGCCTGTGAACACATGACATTTAAAATTAAAAGCTATCTGAGTATATCAATTGACAATTATATAAGAGAGCTATAATTACATTTAACATCGATGTACGTACACATAAAAATAGGCACGAGAAGGGAGACAGAGAGGGTAACCTTGATTTTGTTGCAGATCGCCACTTATGTGACAATCGGTTTTTGTATGAAAACTTTCTTGCTGATATCAATTCATCTCTTTTTCCATTACTTCCAATTGAAAACCACTGTATGTTATACAAACAAATAAGTAATCAAACCAATTTCTCATATGTGCATGCAAATACATGTACTATAAACCAAAACGGTCTTTCAATTTAAAACTTTGTGTGAGGACTAAATAAGAATAATCACACACACAAAGACACAATTTTTACATGATATGACCTAAGTCCATGGGCAGGAGGCAGTATTTTTATTCACAAGCTTGAAAATGATAGTATAGTATAATTGAAACCCTAGCTATCGGCTGTTATATATAGGCAAAGTACAAATGTAAACCCTAGCTAGAACTAGATTGGATCCATCTGCATATATCAACTCAGGTAACACTTTGTAAAAAACAAAACAAACATGAAACACAAAATACATTAAATGAATGAGATGGGAGAATAAGGCAACTACCACGTTGCCCTCTTGAATGAGGATTCCTTTCAAGAGCATATTGTAGATATCTTCTTTCTTTGACAGAGTAGACATCGGAGTTTTTTGACATCAGGATTATTTCTTTGTAGTCTTTAGGCAGTTTGGGCTCCCACATTTCATAATCTGCCTATATATATGATGTAACATTTAAAAAGTAATATTGATTAATTAGTATATTCATTTTCATCATGACATGTAAACAACATACATTTTACTTTAAAAACTATAATTAGAAAACCCAACGCGACTACATATATAGCTTACAGTTAAAATGATTTCATATTTCATTTTTCGAGAAATGTTTTTAAGAATATTAAACATTTGGTTTCATGGAACATATATATTCCATGAAACCAAATGTTTAATATTCTTAAGATTCCACAATTTGTTTGCTTTTATATATTATAAATATCATTTGATATCCTTGATGAATACATACTATACTTTTGTTACATATGCAGTGCAAAGATAAGAACTAACTTGGAATTCCAATGCTTTCTTGAGTTGCATCAACACTTGGGCTGCTGTTGGTCGATCTTCTCTCTTGTAATGTAAGCATTGAACGACAATTTCTTGAAATATTGTCAATGATTGAGGCACAATTTGTTCCTTTATACCCTCAAACACAAGTTTTCCTTCTGGAAAGTGGTGTTTAAGGAAGTTCCCTAGCTCATCAACCTCTTTTACAAATGACAACGTCCCACTCCCACACAAGATCTCAAATAAAACTACCCCAAATGAATATATATCAGATTCTTTAGTTAACGTGTCCGTGCTCTTCTCATACTCTGGGTCAGGAGTTGTGCAGGAAGTATTCCTGAGGTCAAATGAAATTGGGTTATCTCTTGAACTTACATAGGAAAGCCCAAAAATCACCAATTCTTGCCTTCCATTCACCATCTAGTAGAATACTAGAGCTTCTGATGCTCCTATGCACCACCACATCTTTTGTTACATTACCTCCATGAAGAAAATCCAACCCGCTTGCAGCATCTACACAAATCTCAAGTCGTTTCCTCCATGTAAAATTAGGGTCTTTCAAATACCCATTGAGTCTTCCTTTAGATGCATTCTCATAAATAATGATTCTTTCATCCATTTCATTACAATAGCCTACAAGACCAATGATATTTTTGTGTGTATACTCGTGAAGATTTATAAACTCAGTGGAAAATTCTTCTTTTAGAAAACCAGTATCACCCTTAAATCGCTTTGCAATAATGATGTTACTTCCATTAGCTTGTGGGACTTCTCCTCTGTATAGATGCCAATATTTTTCTTCACCAATAATATTCTTCTCACTGAAGCTTTGTGTTGCCAACTTTATGTGTTCAAGTGAAAATTTGAGGTTGTTCTTGAAGTTTTCCTGTGTTTCATGACACTCATCAGTCGGCCAGTTGCTAATTGAAGATTAAATTAAAATTCTTATTTAACATTTCTTTTCTATTTGTCTCGTTTTTTGCATTGTCTTCTAATTAACAATGTAATTATTTGCTGGCTCTTTACGATATAAAAAAAAAAAATCAGAAACAGACCATAGAAACGGCCTACACCGCACCAAACTACAACGGATAATGCGGTTTAGAATTTTGGCGACACGGTTTTTTCTTAAACCGTAGTATGTGGGGTGGTTGTTTTTAATTAAAAAAATGCGTATTTGGTGCATAAAAAAACATTACATATGCACCTGCATATACTTAATAGAGTTTTTTTTTTTTTTTTTTTTTTTTTTTTTTTTTGAAAAAAGCATATACTTACTAGAGTCGATCATGAGGTTTGTACTTTTTTTTTTATGTAATTATCATAATTGATGTAAAATTGTTGTTGGTAACGAAGAAAGAGAAAAAAAGGTTATAAGTTTAAAACATGCATCTGACTTACTTGAAGAAACAGTGCTTGCTCAAGCTCCTTAATGACGACTTCCATTTTTGGACGTTTGGCTTGAGATTCTGCCAAACATCCATAAACGATTTCGAAAAATGTGGCCAAAGACTCTTCACTGAGACCTTCATTTTGAGTAAAAAAGATTTCATCACTCTCTTGCTTCAGAACAGGATCTATCAATTCCTTAAGTGTTCCTTTATCATAGTGTCGTCTTGCGATGGGTCCCAGTCCTTTCTCATCCTCGGCCATATAAATTTTATCATAGGCCACCCTTCCACACATGATCTCACACATAACTACTCCAAGAGAGTACACATCTGTTGCTTTTTTCAACTTACCAGTACTCCAATATTCTGGATCTAAGTACACCTCTGTTCCAGCAATATGAATGGTATTGATAGTGCTGGAGTTTTCATTCAAAGAGTACAATTTTGAGAGCCCCAAATCCGCAATCTTTGCTTCCCATCTCTCGTCTAATAGAATGTTGGCACTCTTGATATCGCGATGTATTATGTTTTTGTTTGTTGTCATTACCACTGTGAAGGCAGTGCAATCCACGTGCAATACCAAGACATGTTCTTATACGTTGCGTCCAGCTAAGGTTAGCCCTGTTGCCAATGCTTTCTAAATAATCATCCAGACTTCCATTAGAAGCATGCTCGTAGACAAGGATCCTTTCAGGGCCTTCAACACAAAATCCAAGAAGAGAAATTATGTTGCGATGTTTACAACTAGTAAGTGCTTCAATTTCTGCAACGAACCCATCTTCCCCTTGTTTGTCTCCTCTACTAAAGATGCGCTTTATAGCCACAGTTTTACGCATTAATTCATCCTTATTATTCTCTTCTATTGTGGAAGAATTTGTCCCCTGATCAAGATGAAGTACTGCTTTATACACCTTGCCATATCCGCCTGACCCAATGCAGTAACGTTCAGCAAAATTCTCAGTGGCAAACTCTATATCACTCAGTCCAATCTTCAAGTGTTCGAAATCTTTCCCCTACATATATAATTATGTGTGTCAAGGGAAAAAAATTATTGAGATTGTAGAGGATAATCAATTAGATTTGTTGAAGTAAATCTATATTATAAACAAATGTTAATTAAAAAAAAGTGTAATCATTTAAATGTGAATGGCCATCTTCATTGTTTCTAACATTTTTATGATCATTATTTTTCAAAACTATTAACGAGAAATTAATTACAATTAGTACAAGATGGATCAAAAAAAAATATTCAATCGATAACATACTTGATCACTGAATACTTAAGTAGGTTAAAAATGATTATTTATATTACTTAGACTCTAAAAGAAAATAATTACCTTCAGCCGGTCAAAAGATGTAACTTCAGTACTCTCGCCTCCTGAATCTTCCTTTAACATGGATAGAAATTAAACAATTTGATATAAACACAAACAATATTGTGAGATGGAAATGAAATATCTTCCTCTTTCTTTTAATAAAAGTCTTGCTGTTAAAAAAATGGAAATGAAACCAAAGAAAACAATAACGACAACTCCAGGAGCACAGATCTTACAAGGTTTTCGAATTTCATTTGGAGTTGCAATGCTTTGTCTAGTTGTCTGACAATTTGATCCATACTTGGTTGATGTGCTCGCTGCTCCTTGAGACACGAATATGCTGTTTCTGAGAAGATTTTAATTGATTTCTCGTCCATTTCTTCCCATACATCCGTATCAATCAAATCCTCCAAAGTTTCTTCTTCATAGTGTGATCTGGCCGATTCAACTAACGACTCCCCATCTTCGTCATCACTCCATGCTTCCTTCCAAAGCCGAACTTCAAATAGCACCACTCACAACGAGAACACATCCGACTTTTCGGTCACACCTCTTGTCTCTTCATATATCGCATCCATGTATCCTTCCGTACCAGAATGTTTAGCGTGGTGAAGACGATGCCTATGAGCAACTGGAGTTCTTATTGAATGTCCAAAAATTACATATTTTGGGCTCCCAGTTGTCATCTAGCAGAATTGAAGAGCTTTTGATGTTGCAATGTATGACACTATAATCACGTCCCTCCTCGTAATGGAGGTAACTTAATCCATGAGCAATACCAGCACATATCTGCAATCTTTCCATCCATGAGAGTGTTGATGCCTCCCTTAGATGCTCATCGAGACTTCTTTTGCTCTCATACTCGCTTACGATGAAAATCCAATATGGATCCCCACTATACCCAAGAAAAGAGACGATATTTTTATGCTTGAGACCAGAAAGGATCAACGCTGTGTTCTCGAACATGGATACTCCATCAGCATCAAGTCGATCATATGATTGTGCAGCAATATCGATCAGCTGTCCAGACCAAAAAAGCTGCGCTTTGTAAGTTGTAAATTCCTTGTTTGAACTAATCACATATTCATCCGCCATGTCATTGGTCGCTGATTGGATATCTTCAACTGGGATTTCTAAGTGGTTAATCCCTTCGAGTGGATAATACATGATGTTTCTATGTATGAAAGTAAAAAAGAGGTTGAAGAAAAAGAATTATGTGAATTGTGAAGGAAGAGGATACTCACCAAACACAATCATAATTTTTTTAATGGATTGTAATATTTAGGCAATGCCATCTCGAATATATTTTTTTCTTTTTAAATGGATGGTAAGAGTAGATCCAGATGTACATAATGTGTTGTCAGAACTTTTTAATATGATCAGCTGCTCAGCGCCGACAACGACCGTAGATGTAGAGTCAACACCAAAATAAAAATGAAGGTTCCTATCTATATATAAAGCAATTTTAAATTTTTAATTCCAATTATTTTAGACTAAATTGCAAATTTGGTCAATGCCAACTGTCCTCCGAGTCCCGAGATGAAGATTGCTACATAAAGTACAAATTAGGGGTGTGCGCGGTGCGATTTGGTGCGGTTTCGAGTCAAAACCGCAAACCGCACCGCATATAAGGTTTGAATATTTTAGAAACCGCAAACCGCACCACAGATGTTTAAAACCGCGTGATGCGGTGCGGTTTGATGCGGACGGTTTATGCGGTTTAGTTGCGGTTTGTGCGGTTTGATGAGTTGTTCAACATTAAATCTATCAAAAAACCAAAAACCTGACCGGGTTAAAAAAATTGATTGCTTTCATTTTATAAAAACAAATACAATTTTCGAGTTAAATCGTTTTTAATAAATTGTGATTCATGCTACTATAGTTTTGTAAGTATCATTGTTATTGTTTTATATTGCCGTTATAGTTGTTATATTCTTGTAAACCATGGGATCTTGATCTAATAGTGATTTAATGTTACGTTATAGATATTTGGTTATTGTAAGAAATATATTTATATACATCGTTTCTAAATCGTGATTTGAAGTTATAACAAAGTAAAGAAAAAAAAAAGTATATATATAACATGTGGTGCGGTACGGTTTGAACCGCATTTTTATAAATACAAACCGCAAACCACACCGCATAGTGCGGTTTGATAAAATGATGAACCGCAAACCGCACCACGAAATTTTAAACCGCATTATGCGGTGCGGTTTGGTGCGGTGCGGGCGGGTTTGTGCGGTTTTTTGCACAACCCTAGTACAATAGAGTAAATTAAAGTTTGGTCCCTATGGTTTATACTTATCTATAGTTTTAGTCCAACTTTTAAATTATTGACATGGCTCATCCATGTAGTTTTTAAAAGTTGCACGTGTGGTTCTTGGTTCCTGAGGTTGCTACCATCAATGGGCTTTGGTACGACTCCCCTTCTCTCACCACCAAGCCTTTCCACCATTAAGCCATCCACCCCTACCACCCATTCTCTCCCCCATCACGGAAGGAGATTGCCTTCTCGTGACAACCACCTCCTCCCTCTCTTCTTGGTCACCAGAAATTTCCTGAGACCAACGACCACCATGGTAAAGATCATCGTTGAATGTTCTTCACTCCAACTTATGTTTGAACTTTTTAATATTTACACTTAACCGAATTGATTCACACATTGCTAAAGTTGTCCTATGGAGTTGTATGGATCATGGTGTAAGTTGGTGGTGCGTCCAATGAAACAACAATGTTGTTGGCAAAATAGAAACTTTAAATCAAGCATATTAGGTTCGAGACGAGGATGACAATCTTCTGGAGTGCTCGTCATAAGCTGGAACTGATATGCAATTACAGTCTTTAAGGTAACCATACCATTTCTTTTTGAATTAAAATCCAATATCAGTTCAAAATGTTATCAAGAACCAACTTTAATTTATTCTTAATGATTCAGAGTTGTGAGAAAAAGAGAAACTAGATTGGATCGTCATGTTTACTGATGACAACAATATGCATAGTTCAATTCAAATGGATTGGTGATGTTTCCGTCAAAATTGTTCTTCGTTCCAACAGTTCTAACGAAGATCCTTTTGAGTTCTAGAAGAATTTAGATGAACCACATGAGAGAAAATTACCATTGTCGATTCCATCTTCTAGCTTATCTGATAGGTTAACTAGTTCTCTTTCATATCAACAATATAGTGTGAATTACATCGGTGATATGGCAATCATTTGCCTTAGAAGCTTGAGTGGTCTGAATTTATAAAAAAAAAATCAAGGTTGGTATGGGAAGAATCTGAGTTCAGCCTAGACTAGATAAGGATATGTACCAAGTGCAGGAGTTAGAAAAGAAAAATATACGAAATCAAACAAGGAAAACAAAATACCGTTGAGGCCTGTGTTTAACGTAATATCCTTAAAACAAATTTGATCACTATCATGTGTTTATTTTCTAGGATACAACAACTTGAATTGGTTTTTTGCAACCGACTGAACCTATAATAGACCTAGAATCTACCTTGAAACAACAAGAAAAATGTATCGGTAGAAGAAGAGTAGCAAAGAGAATAGTTTCATATGTTGTATCTCAATTTGTCACAAGAAATATTTACAAAAAGGTCCTTGAACTATTGTAGTCGATTGATGACTATTTGTACCCACAGGTAACATGCCCGCACACAAGTTTGGTGAACCCAACCGAGTTTGGTTTGCATTTGAAAGGGCATTGGTTCTATTAGTATTACATTGTTTATAATGCTTTCTACTTATAAACCCACTGCTTTTTCCTTCTCCCACCCATGTGGGATGAACTCAGACCCCTTAAACTCTTTTATTTACTTTTTCCAATATTATCGACGCTAATACTCGAAAATTTTGACCACCAAAGTTTCCCCCAAAGGTGTCGCTGATAATACTCAAAAAATTTGACCATCAAAATTCCCCCCCCCCCCCCAAAGGTGTCGCCGCTAATACTCTATGTATCGCCGCTAATACTCTATATGTCACCGCTAAAAGTCATCACCGCTAATTCCCTTCGCAAATATAACCCCCTTCAGCTCATTCTTCCCTTCTTCCCTATTCTGTGAACTCTTTTCTCTCTGTCACCACTCCGACAACAACTTCTTTTCTGTTTATCTTATTCTTTATCTTCTCCCCAAGTGACATACTCATTGATAGTGTCGGATTGTTTCAGTTCCTTGCCGGATTGCTGAAGATATGTCGGAATTTGTTGTTGTCTGTCGGAATTAGCCGAAAAATTGGTCCTATTGCCGGAATACCTCCCCCAGTCCACCACCACTCTTCTCCGTCGGATTACACACCACCACATGTTCTGTATATGTTTATTTTAATTTTTGTATGTAGAATGTATATTTTGTATACGTATGTGTATTTGTATGTATATCTTGTATGTATGTATATATATATATATATATATATATATATATATATATATATATATGTGTATGTGTGTGTGTATGTGTGTTTGTATGTGTATTATGTATGTATTTGTGTATTAGTATGTGTATCATGTATTTATATGTATTATATATGTATGCATGTATTTTTGTATGTGTATTATGCATATATTTGTGTATGTATGTATGTGTTTTTGGTTATATGCTTTTATAACGTTTTTATAATTTTATAACGTTTGTTTTGTATATTGAATGAACGTTTTCAAAAAACTAAAAAAAGAGAAAAAAATTACAATTAGCGGCGACACTTTTAGTGGTGACAGATAGTATTAGTGGCGACAGGGCATTAATGGTGATGGTAAACATTAACGATGACAATTGGAGCATTAGCGACGAGCCAACAGCGGCGACGGGTCGCTGCTAAAGGTATTAACGACAACATTTGGGACCTTTAGCGGCGACACTCGTTGCCACTAATGGTCATTATTCTTGTAGTGTTACATCTGTTTTGGACATGTGATATACCAAAACTTTGGTATCACCGACAAGAATACAAACATATAAACATTCATACATTTTAATAATGTTTACAGTTTGAATTTCATGTTAAAAAATAGGAAAACCCTATTTCTAGAATTTGTTTAAAACCAATTTCCAACACCAAGTTGTTGAAACTAGAAATCCTCTTTCTTTGCTTTTCCACCTAATCTCTAGTTTAATGGGTAAAAGAATTATATTTATAAAAGATAACAAAAGTTAAAATATAGTTTAATGGGTAGAATTTTTCAATGTTAGCAAACACCTTTACATTGCCATTTTAATAGTGTTGAGTCTTTCCATCAATACGAAAGGTAGTTTACCTTCGTGAAACGGAAAATAGCGAATTTCTTTCCATTAGCATCTAATATTATTCTCCATGTAAGAGTCAATAATGTATCCAAAGTCTTTAAATGTATTCTAGATTAGTTTTTAAGTACATCAGGAAGATTAAAGAGTAAGAATGTTGTAGCTACAACACTAGACATGTTTGATGTTTCCATGAGGTTTAACTTTGTTCGTGGCTCTGTATTTTAAGGACTAAATAATACCCACTTCAACTAAAGGGCTTCTAGCCTAACGGTATCAGGTGGTGCCCTCCCTCTTTGAGGTTGAGGGTTCAAGTCTCGTTGTGGACATAGATGTAATTAGGTGTTAATTGAGATAGAGAAGAAGTAAAAGCATGTATAAATTTATATTTTGAGGTTTTGCAAAGATTTAAGGTGAGATTATGTACCCAAAACAGGATTTAGTTGTTTGTTTAGCAATACATGTTAAGGTTGCAATGTCTCAATCTAGTTCGATCTTCCATTTTGTTTAAATACAAATTATTGTTTTTCAAATTATAATGTTGATGTATTCTATGTTAAGTTTACTATTACAAATTTTTTTTAGGGAAAATGACTTAAAAGGGTAACATTGTGGAATGGATTTGAGTGGCTGAGGTGGCGCTTCGGCATATATGGCTTTTTTGTCGCTTCTGTTTTTCCGTCCAATATCCAATGATTATGTTTTTCGGGACAATTATTGACAATTCTAACAAAGGGTTGGTGTAAATGATTGAGAGGGTTGTACTCCGATGGTGGAATGGATTTGAGTGATTGAGGTGTCTTCGGCAAGGCAGATGGAGGTAGTAAATCGGTGGTTTTGACAATGAGGGTTTGTAGGTGAGGGGTAGTAGTAGAGAAACGGCGAAGTTTGATGCGCACAGGAGAAGGATCGGCGGCGTCAAGAAGGTTTCCAATGATGGTTTTTAAGGGAGGGAAAAAGATAGTAGAGAGAGAATGGTAGATGACTGTTGGAAATAAAGAGTTTGTGAACTAGTGTTTCAAACTGGAGGCTCACTTGAGAAGATGACTGAAAAAACAAAATCATTGGAAAAATCATCTCACTGAAGATGCCAAAATTATCGGATAATCCATCTTTTGGGTAGAAACTTGCAACATGTCATCAGGACCTAATGTGGACAAAGTTGATAAGTTTGTGGTTTTTTGCAAGAAAAAAAACATCAATCACTATATGTGTACAGAACAAAAAACAATATTACCTTAACAGATTTTTTTTTTTCAAAAATTAGAAAGCAAAAAGTTTTGGGGAGCTTAAACAGGATTATTTGCCAAGATAAACCGAAAGAAAAAATGTTTGCAAAATCTATTGTAGAAAAAATCCAAAGAAACCAAAATGGATATGGGTTTCCAAATGAATAGTGGGCTGCCAAAAAAATGAATCGAAGTGGGCCTAGCCCACGAATAAACCAACGTAGGGATTGGGCTTATTGGCCAGTGCGGCAGGTGTCCGATCAGAGCGGCAGTTGCAACTCGGAACCTGGAACTTGGAATGGAAAACATTAATGATTATTCTATTCCTATTATTTCCCAAAGAATCGATTACACAAACTCGTTTTGAATTCATCGAAATTGAAATCAACTCATGTATAACTGGATAGATTTCAATAATAGAAGCAGAGTCCTTAACATGTCAATAAAAAAAATCCGAACAAGATACTATCTGAAAGAGTGAAAGGTATGTATTGCTTTCTTTCCTCACTTTCTTTGTCTATAAATTTCCGTCACTCCATTTAAGGTCATTCCTTACTTTTCTAGAACAAATCTTAATTTTACACGCATACTAAGCATTTGATGGAATGCCTGAATGAAATATCCTTTGTAATGGAATACCAGATTTGTTATATGGTTTACTTTGATCCTACTGTTATTTGTTGATATTGTATTGCAGTAAATGCCCAAAGTATACTCGAATTTACTTTGATCCTACTGTTATTGGGTGTATATAGGAGTATATGAATACTAGTCAGGTAGTTCTTGATGAAGGATGAGATGGATAGTTCATGCAGTGATATGAAAAATGTCATACTCCTAACACACGAATTGTAGAATCAATGTAAGACTAAAACAATTGTAATGTTCACTGTGTTTTGCTGTATCTACTTGCTCACATCATTGTCTCATAATTACATTGACCGAAACTCGATGCTGCTTATACTGAGGCCGGACATAGTTCCTTCATAACATATCAGTTTCAAATTGATAAAAACACAATCATCTCGAATCTCATTACTTGAGTTGAATTTCCACATATTGACTTCCATCCATCCATCTTCCCTCTCTTTTGGAACCCGATCAGTATCATTGACATTACATGGGCTTGGGGATCTAAAATAAACAATTCCCTTCTCTTTGTTTTTTCGGTTGAGTAAATCCTGTACTATCACCGGACAATGCAAACCCTGGCATTTTTCTGAGAGCTTGAACACAAGGTAACATGCGTATTCTGTATCTGATGACAACCTTTGACTTTCAATCTTGCACTTTATACGAAACACTTGTTGTCGTTGGAGCTCAACCACATCTTCAAATCTGGATGTATGGTATGCGATTAGATACATGTTGGAGAGTGAATAAATATTTCTAGGAGCATAGAAAACTATATTGATATTGGACTTTGTATTTTATACAGCAATACACAAGAATACAATTTTGAATTACGGAATCTAGTTCATAAGTGAGTAAATTTCCAACTATTTATGTAAGAATAATTGAGCATAAGTAAACTTCCTTCACATGCATGATGGATATGCATGGTATACATAACGAAATTTTGGTGATTAGAATAAGAAGCCATAACCAAAATTAGTTACTTAATATAAAGGGAAAAAAACCTGGTCTTTGTTGATGGTATCAGATTAAAAAGCTTCACATCCAAAGATTCGGAAAGAGCTTCCTTTCCCGAAAGGATATACTGCTTCTTTTTGTTCATTTCATTTAGTGTGAGAAACTGCGATAAAGGTCAACTTAATTTATTACCACAATCTTGAGAAATATATTTAATTCTACTACACATAAAAGATGATGGAAATGCACAGAACCTTTTCACCCTCGCCATCATAGTTTTCAACTCTTTCAGAAGTAGCTGGCATTGGCAATTGTTGCACCTGGTCCACATTTAAATTTGATTTCAAGACTTGTTGGGTTTCCTTAAATCCCTTGATTTCATCATGTTTCACCTGTATTAAAATTGTAACATAATGTTAGATAGTGTAACCTAGAACCAGAAAATGTGGTCAATACATCCTCCTCTGTTCCAAGATATAAACAAAATATCTAAATAGGGAACTAAATAGTAGTTTCAAACTTGCATTGTTAATGGCTTGAAACTCAATGCCTTCAACATAAAGAGCACGACTTCCACAATAGCATCTTGAGAAGCTCTCTAGCAGAAACTCAAAGTGAGTATGTTCCTTGTTCTTCAAGAACCGACACAGTTCAATCATCACCCAACCATCTTCTCTCCATGTTGCAAAATATGCATGTAAGGTTTCATCCCCCTTTTTGAACTTGAGGTTCACATACATCCGTTTAGCTACAGATTTTCTTGGACCACAAAATCTAAACACGAGATTAACACCATAATTGACACCCGGAGATAAAAACTGAGCTTTTATCTTTATTTGGATCTTTAGATTTGAAATATCTAACATCTCTGCTACTTCATGAAAGATATTAAAATCTATATTAGGCACAGCCTCTATGCCCCCACTTACACAATATTATTACTGGATCTAATGTTGTGCAAGTGCAACCCAAATAAATGGATTCATTACAATAATGTACAAAATTAAAGTTCAAATTCACATTTATATGAACATTTAAATTATAAATGACATAGATTCTTTTGTCATAAAATTTCTCTTATTTGATTTAGATGGGTTTTTTTTTTTTTTTTTAAAGTTATGTTGTGAAATTCCCGCATTCAAATATATATCTAATTTGATAATACACCAAATATCATGTAATTAATGACATAGTTGATATTTTAGTGTGTCAGAATGAAACCGTTTTAAATAATATGGTTCTTGCTCCGGGTTGAACTTAAAACTTAAATATATTTTGAGTGTTCTAAAAAATCAAACCTAAATTGGAAAAAAAAACGTTGGTTTGGTAATAAGAGCATCCACAATAGTGAGTTCAATCAGAGACTTGAATGAGGTGGCAAGTCTAGTTGTCATTTAATGGATGAAACTCTACCATTGTGAGAGGCAACCTTGGCATTCAATGGATTTGGAGTTCAATTGCCATTTAACTCTTGAATGGGAAAAAGGAAAGTATTCTAATTCATAAATATATACTATAAATTAGCTTTATAATGTTCTATTGAACTTTATAGAGTTCAATGCATTATAGAAAAAAATTGATAGAGTAGTATGTAATGTAGAAAAATGATGTGGCAATCCGTTGAACTCTATGAAGTTCAATGCATTGTGGATGCGCTAAGTTACAATTCGTTGTGTAAGCTACTTAATTAATACATTCTATAGAAATTATCTACTGCCTTATCATGCTTTAATTAACTTCAATAATAGAATGTAAACGTAAATAGTTTTCATTTTTGACAAGTTTTTATGTAAAAACAGAGGAACCTCCGAGTAAAGTATGTAACTATATATAATCATTATGGAAGTTAAAATGTAGGTTATCAACAGTATCAACTAATATTGTTAATTTTACAAACAGTCTGTCATATTGTAATGGAAAAGTAACTAAATTTAATATTCAGAATGAGAGAGCAATAAATACATCTAACAATGTTAAATATTTACACATGCAAATAAACAAACAGAGAGAAAGGTAGTAAAACCTTGATTCCGGAACAGATGGCCACTTATGTAATCGACGGTGTTTGTATAACAACTTTCTTGCTGATATCATTTCATTTCTTTCTCCATTATTGCCCAGTGAAAACAACTGTTATACAAAACAAAACAAATCAAACGCAATTCCTGTTATGTGTAAATCAGGCACAATAGTTGCTTTATATCTACCTTGTAAGATAAAGATACATTTATATTAGCCGAATCTATTGTATTTTACGAAGTGTATTTTAGTTATGATTTATATGTATCCTTCCCTATTTTATCTCCTCATTAGAAGGATGTACCGATTGTATCTCTGCCTATATAGAGAGTATTTTATTCAATGCAATGTACATAAAAAAATCACTTACGCCATAGTCTCTGTTAATTTAGACCAAAAGGATCGACAAATAACATAAATCGATGAAACTAATTTTTCTAAGAGCAGAAAATTTTAGCTTGTCATGGCAAGCAGCTGCAATCAAATGAGCAAGGGTACTATAAGATCTGAAGTTTGAGGCTTTTTGGTGATTGAAATTATGTTAAATTGAAAAACTCACTTCTTCGGCCAAATACGATATAGTGAAATTACATAAACCAACGAATATCGAGAAAAATTTACTGGCTTTAATAAAATTTAGAAAGAACGGACTAATTACCACTTTGCCATTTTGAAGAAGGATTCCTTCGGAAAGCATGTTGTGAAGGTACTTTTTCTTTTTAGTGAAGTAGGACTCAGATTCTTCTGACATCTTGAAAATTTCTTCATAGTCATGAGGCAATTTGGGTGCCCATATTTCATAATCCTCCTGTTTATATAATTAGTCAAACAAAAAAAATCGTATTTTAATTTTATGAAATCTTCATTTACATACTGTAACTATAATTTTCAGAAATAAATAAATAAAGAAATCTCTATAAAAATGGTTATCAAAACCTTATCCTCTTATTTATTATAAGATTTTTTTTCTTATTCATGAAAAACTACAGTTTATCAATGGACTAACTTTTTGTTTATTCAAGTCTTGATACCTTTTAATTTGCATATTGATGTATATTCACTGAAATAATGACAATTTCAAAAGAATATGAAAACTTACTTGGAATGCCAGTGCTTGCTCAAGTCGGAGTAGCACGTCACTTGTTGTTGGTCGTTTTTGTCGTAGATCATGTACACATTCGTAGGCCAATTCTTGAAAAGTAGTTAATGATTTAGGCGCAATTTGTTCCTTTATACCTTTAAACACCATATCATCAAGTTTTCCTTTTCTATAGTAGCGTTTAAATGTATCTATTAGAATTTTAAAACTGCCATTGACGTCTTCGAACATCAATCTCCCACACAAGATCTCAAATAAAAGCACTCCAAATGAGTATATATCGGATGCTTTCTTAAAGACACCATCTGCAGGGTATTGTGGGTCACAATAGCCTTTTGTGCCACAAGCATTGTCGATCACATCCTCATTTACTGAAGTTATTGAGGAAAGCCCAAAATCAGAAATTTTTGCTGTCCAATCATCTGTTAGTAGAATGTTTGGGCTCTTCATATCTCTATGCATCACCACCTCCTGTGTTACACCACCCCCATGAAGGAAATCCAAACCACGTGCAATATCAATGCATATCTCAAGCCGTTTCCTCCATGTAAGATCCTTGTTTCCCAAATGCCAGTCAAGACTTCCTCCTGATGCATACTCATAAACAATGATTTTTTCACGTGGTTCATTGCAATAGCCTACAAGACCAATCACATTTTTATGTTTGTAGTCCAAAAGAATTTCAAGTTCGGTTAAAAATTCAATTTCTCCTTGACCACCAGCTGTGTCCAATCGCTTTGCCGCAATAGTGGTGTGACGTCCATCAACGCTTGTAACTTCTCCTCTGTAAACCCTCCCGAATCCTCCTCTTCCAATGCGATTCTTACCACTGAAGTTATTTGTAGCCAATTTAATGTCTTCAAGTGAAATTTGGAGGTTGTCCTTGTGGTTTTTCTGTGAATCATGAAACATTGCAATCAATATGAAAACTCAAGACAAACTGAAAGTAATCATTATCTAAAATTCAAAAGAAACTAAAAGTAATTCATATTAAAATCTCTTTTAACTACTTGTGATCTGGAGCATACAAAAGACCTGCCTTAAGCATGGATGGACAAATGGGAAAATGAGGAATTGAGGACAATTCATGAATGATAAGTATATGAAGAGAAATTTGACTTACTTGAAGTTGTAATGCATTCTTAAGTTTCTCGACTACAGTTCCAATTTTTGGACGTTGTGCTTGAGTTTCTGCCAAACATTGATATGCAATATCTAGAAATGTCTCCAAAGATTCTTGATTGGGACCTTTACTCAAAGTAAAAATGTTTTCATCAAATTCTTCCTTTAGTTTAGGATCTAGCATATCCTTTAGTGTTCCATTCTGGAAGTGTCGCTGGGCAAAGGGAGCAAGCCCCTTGACATTTTCCTTAATGTAAGCATGATCATAGGCCAACCTCCCAGACAGGATCTCAAATAACACTACCCCTAATGAATAGATATCTGATGCTTTTTTCAGCTTACGTGTCTTCTCATATTCTGGATCCAAGTACACAATTGTACCTGCAACATTTGTCTCAAGATAACTGGCCTGTTGAGACATGGGACCGAATTTGGAGAGCCCAAAGTCAGCAATCTTTGCCACCAAATTATCGTCCAACAGAATGTTGTCACTCTTTATGTCTCGGTGTATTATGCTTTGTTCAGTGTGAAGGTAATTTAGTCCTTGTGCAATATCAAGACAAATTTGTAGACGTTGCTCCCATTTAAGACTATTCATTTTATCATAACTTCTTAAATGGTCATCAAGGCTTCCATTAGAGACATACTCATAGACAAGGATCAGGTCAGAACCTTCTTCATCACAAAAGCCAAGAAGAGAGACTATGTTGGGATGCTTACAACTTGTAAGTGTTTCAATCTCTGCAAAGAACCCGTCCTCAGCTTGTGTGTCGTTTCTTTTAAAGAGGCATTTTATAGCTACAGTGCTGCGTATCTTTGGCAGATCACACGTATTATTCCCTTCTATCTCCAAGGATTTTTTTCCATCAAAATGTTCGAGTTCTGCTTTGTACACCTTACCATATCCACCTTCCCCAATGCACCGTGTCTGAGAAAAATTATGGGTGGCCACCTCTATATCATGAAAGTTGATCTTCAAGTGTTCCAAGTTTTTCCACTGCAAGACAACATTGAGTGTTAATGGACAAGATATATAAGATATATAAGATTTAATAGTAGTTTTTCCACTGCAAGATATATAAGATTTAATAGTAGTTAACCCTTGTGGATGCTCTTAGTTTAATTAAAACTATAAATTCAACTATTGATTTTAATGACTCATGAACAACTAAATTGACAAATACATTCATTTAAACATTCTACTATAGATCCATTTTCCATATCATCATCCCCCCTAAAACATCAACAACTATTCATACATATTTATAGTCATTGAAACTTAAAAATACACATTCAAATATCAATATTAATACATTGATTTGCAATAACAATAACAATAACAATAAATGTGGTTGGTCATTTTTTTTATACAAATCCAACAAATTTCAAAGTTGTAGATTTGGTCTTTTTGGCCTAAATGGTTGTGTCTGAATATGTCAATTTTTTTTTCATTTTGATTTATTTATATATTTTACTAATATTTATTTATTTTAAAATAAGAAGAGGCTCCCAACCCACCCTACCCCACATTTAACCTTACATATACACACACATTTACTTATCGGAATTCACCCCCTTTCCCTCCTCCTCCAATCACCAACACACTTACGCCACCACCTCCATCTAATGACAGACACCTCCATGATTGCCTTCATTTCTATTGATGACCACCACTGCTTTCCCCTTCCTTGACGACCATCACCACACCCATCTAACAGTTCGATTTCTACAACCTCCATTCCACCAATGACCACCACCATCTTACATCTCCTTCTCGTTCATCTTTGCTTAATCATGTTCATCTTCAAACTCAGAAAAACCAGATATGGTTTCAACATAGTTTCAACAAATTCCATCGATATAGCCATCATTAACATTTTCTATGGCTTTTTATCTTTCGTCAATCAGACGAAAGTGACGAAAGTGGTGATGGTCAAATAGACATGGAAAGATTTGGTGGGCTTGTATTGATAGAAGAGATACCCCGTAATAAAAATGGAATGGTGAACTTCAAAGAATTTCCATTCAGTGTTATATAGTTGGGTTGGGATTGAGGATGATGAAGATCATTGAATTGAAACATTGGTGGGTTGTGTTGACAAGTGGAATGAAGGTCCATCATTACTACAAAAGATCCTTCGTCCAATTCCGCTTCTCATTGAGATAACCCTTTCAGATCTATGGTTCTATGGAGCTCTTGTGGCATAAAGGTGCCAACTTTATGGTCTTAAGGGATCCATGCATCCATTAAGCCCTTATTATGGTCACTTTTAAGCTTTTAAGTTTCCTCTAGCCTTGCATGTGAGTAAAGTTGAAAACTTTAAGTGACCTTTCAGCCTTCAAGGTCCAGATCTGCATCCATGAGCTTTATCTTGATGATTTGGTGATTTTTGATTAAGCCCTTAACCTTGTAAGGTTTGAGTTTTAAACCCATTTGGATGGTTCTTAAGGGTAAAGTTGGAAACTTTACCCTTCTAGACGTTATTTCAGCTGGGATCTGAATGGTAGAGCTTTTAGTTTGGAGTATAATGACTTAATAGATTAAGTGGCCTTGCTGACTGAAGAACTCGGCAAGTTGGGCTGGGTTTTCCCGATCCTGCTGACAAAAGGGGAAACTCGACGAGTTGAAGGACAACTCGGCGAGTTGGATCGACCTTTCGCAATTCTGTTGTTTGATGGAACTCGGCGAGTTTAAGGATAACTCGGCGAGTTGAGTCAACTTGGAGCGTTGACTTTAACTTTGACATTGACCAAGTTTGACCTTTAAGGGGTTTTGAAATATTGATCGGTATCTATGAGATTGTTTCGGTTTAGGGGTTATGTAGAGTTGATTTCTGGGGGCCGAGATTTATCCAGTTATCATTCAGCATTCGAGGTGAGTTTCCTTACCAGTTTTAGAGGGTCGAAGGCACCAATGTCGGCCCATGTTTATGTTATATTGATAGAATACTAGTTGTCTTCGTGACTCTTGCATGTAACTATGTTTTTATGCTATTGGACCAAGGTCCGATGCCGGGCGGAGCCTAATGACTATTTGTATTCTATGTATATTACATGTGTATGTGTTTATATGCTTTCCGAGCTCAGCTCGATGACCGGGCGGGGCCCACTGCATATTTATTGTTTGTTTGGTATGTGGTATTTTGGGGGAACTCACTAAGTTTTGTGCTTACGGTTTTCAGTTTATGTTTCAGGTACTTCTGGTTCTAAGGGGAAGAGCTCGGAATGACTGCATCGCACACACCATTGGGATTTGTTATGATGTCTTACTCTGATTTATGACAAATTGATACACTGATTTATTTCAAATGTTTGGATGATATGGAAAATTACTATTTTATCTATTATTAAATCGAAAATTTTTGGGACTACATTTTTAGATGTTTCAAGTTGGTATCAGAGCCTTGGTTGGAGGGATTCGGGCACACTCTCGGGTGTCTGAACTCAAACTAAGGACTTGGAGGAAATTTTCAAAACAAAACATTTTTATTATAAAAGGATTTCTAAATGAGAAAAGGGTGTGGTGCATATAATAAGCCAAGCTCAAGTTATCCAAAAATACCCATGTATGTTTATATATGATATGAATTGTGAATTGTGAATCGCATGCTAGAGTAGGGCTAAAGATCTAGGAGAGATGCCTTTGTATGCCTGTTATATGAGCTTATAAATTTTGCATGCTAGTACTGATCAGTCCGTGATAGGATGGCCTGATTAGGTTATGCTCAGTTCTGTTTACTTGATGCTCGAATGCTGTTTGCTTAGTTCTTTTAGGAGTTCTTGCTAATCTCGGCTAGCTAGTAAGTGAATATGCTAAGTTACATATTATTAAAAAACTAAATAATTTCAGAAGGTTAGTTTTTAGCTCTATTGCACAGCTTTTGTTTGAGTCCAACCGTTATAGGGAGAAACCTCTCATTCAAAGAATTATCTAAACTTTGTAATATGTAATTGTATTCGTGAGCTAATTAGAAATGGTTAGCATGATTTCCTTTTGCAGCTGATGGCGGAGAGTGGTGTGGAGTATGCCCTAGGAGAACCTAGGATGAGATTTAGTGTTGAGATCCCCAGCTGCGAGGGATTTGTTGGTTATAGAGTAACTTAGTTGAGTGAAGGAACTTCTTGAGGAAAGTACGGATAAATGTGGAAGGTAGTATGGGGTTGTACTACTGGAAGCAGATGATCCGTACTCGATTCAAGGAGGGCTGTAATGAAGCCAAGGAGCTTGTGTAGTTATGATTTCCCCGATATGGGCATTGATGCTTATTCTGATAGTTTTATGGTCTATTTTCAGTATGGTGGTATTGCGTGGCCGACCAGTGGGCAGTTTCGGTGCCAGGGAGGGTTCAGGTTCTGGTACTGGAGCCGGGCAGCTTGACGACCAGACGAGGGAGTTCAGCTCGTCTGAGATTACGCCCAACATCCTTGATCAGACTCTCGTGATCTTTGGCACGGTCAAGGAGGGTATCCTGGATATTTTAGATGAGAGATTGAGCGTCTTTCGTGCTGAGATTGTGGCTTTGATTGGGACGCGCTCTCTGACCTTCAGGGAGTTTCGGGCTTGTGGAGCGCAAGACTATCATGGCCTCATGGGGGCTAGGGACCCCATTGTGAGCAGCAGGTGGTTGGCAGATGTTGCCAACGCCTTCCGTACCAGTTGTTGTCCCGAAGGGGACAAGGGCAGACTAGCATTCTGCCTCCTGAAGGACAGGGCTCGTGATTGGTAGGAGGAGGTAGGGCATGCTGTAGGAGGTGATGTTATTGATTCGATGACCTGGAGTGATTTCTATACTAGGTTCCGAGCCGAGTTTGCACCGGTGATCGAGGTGTAGCAGCTGGCACGAGAGTTTCAGGATCTTCATCAGACCACTGAGACGGTGACCGAGATCACCGCTATGTTCAGGAAGAGGGCCCTTCTGGTTCCGCAGTATGTAACGGACAAGGAGATGAAGAAGGCCTGTACCACGAGATGTTGAGGAGCGATATCCGGCAGTTTGTGAGCCGATCCAGCTGCAAGACTCTGAAAGACATGATAGCAAGGGCTAAAGAGAGGGAGATTGACTTAGAGATGGTGAGAAAGAGGAAGCCAGATTCTGCTATGAGTGTTGAGGGTTCGGGCAAGCGGCCCAAGGTATCTGATTCCAGGCCGAAAGGCCAACATAATCGTAGCTGATGTGGTAGGTGCGACAAGGTGCACATGGGAACGTGCAGAGCGGGTGGTTCTGGCTGCTTCAAGTGTGGTCGGACTGGTCATATCAGCAGAGATTGTACTGCTACCACCCCCGTCACTCCAGTATTTGATCGGATTTGCTTTCAGTGCAATCAGAGGGGCCACAAGAAGGCCCATTGTCTGAATTTGGCTGCGGCAGGACCGGTGTCAGCACCCGCTCCTGCGACATTGAGGATTACTAACGGCCATCAGGGCCAGGCAGATGCGCCAGCGGCGAAGAGCAGGGCATTCCAACTATCGGCAGAGGAGGCGTGTGCAGGTCCCGACGTTGTGACGGATATGTATCTTCTCATAATCTCTTTATTTATATTGAATTGTTGCTTATGTTTATGTGTTTTATTTTAGGATCGTTCCTCGTGAACGGTATCTCTGCCTTGGTATTATTATTCGATTCGAGGGCTACCCAATCTTTTATAATCTCTTGTGCTTAGCAAGAGATTTACTGGAGCTCCAGGAGAGCTCGATCGTCCTCTAGATGTGGAGATTGCTGCTGATAGGACGGTCAGGGTCGCGAGGGTTCATCGGGATTTGTACTCTTCAGTTGTTCAACGAACAGTATCCAGTGGATTTGGTTCCCATTCCTTTGCATGTGAACAAGGTTATCGTGGGCATGGATTGGTTGAGCCCTAATGGAGCAGTGATCGACTGTGAGCAACAGTTGGTTCGGGTTAGGACCCCAAGTGGAGAAGAGTTGGTGATTCAGGGTGACAGACCGCAGTGTGGGCCGGTCATGTGTTCTGCAGCGAGGGTCAGACGCTACCTTCATCAGCGTTGTGCAGGTTTTGTCGCCTATGTTATGGATGCCCGAGATAAGGGTAAAGCGACCGTGGACGATGTCCCGATTGCGCGAGAGTATCCGGATGTGTTCCCGGAGGATTATCCTAGGGTACCTCTGAGAGGTAGGTGGAGTTCAGGATCGATTTGATTCCAGGTGCGGCTCCGATAGCCAAAGCACCGTATCGGTTGGCTCCTCCCGAGATACAGGAGTTTTTCTGCACAAGTGCAGGAGCTGTTAGACAATGGATTCATTAGAATGGACAGTTCGCCTTGGGGAGCCCCGGTTTTGTTTGTGAGGAAGAAGGACGGATCCTATCGGATGTATATTGACTACCGGGAGTTGAATAAGATAACGGTGAAGAACCGTTACCCACTCTCGAGGATCGATGATTTCTTCGACCAGCTTCATAGTGCATCTTGGTTTTCCAAAATTGATTTGCGATCGGGCTAGCATCAGATGAGGGTTAGGGACGACGATGTGCAGAAGACAGCTTTCCGGACTCGTTATGACCATTATGAGTTTGTGGTGATGCCATTTGGGCTCACCGATGCTCCTGCCGCGTTCATAGATCTCATGAACCGCGTATGTAGACTGATGCTTGATCGGTCTGTGATAGTCTTAATTGATGATATCTTGGTTTATTCCAAGACGCAGGAGCAGCATGAGGAGCACTTGAGGGAAGTGCTGGAGACTTTGAGGAGGGAGAAACTTTTTGCAAAGTTCTCCAAGTACGAGTTCTGGTTGCGCGAGGT